AGTTACAAATTGCACTTTCCTTGAAGCTACATTTTCCTTCCACGTTACTTAAATCCTCATCTCGTTACCTGTTTTATCTCCTCCATTTTTTCCTTGAGCTCTTCCCTCACCTCCCTGAGTTCATTCTGAAGAAACAAAATGGGAAGAGAAGGAGGGAAGGAGTATCTTGGATGGAAGGGAAACTATAGCACAGCTAAAAGAGGACCAGAGAGACACTTCCGTTAGGGAGGAAAGAAAGGATGCTGTTGGGACAACGGAACGGTGGGACCTGCAAAACCTGGGTGACTCCTGGCAGGACGCACTGCCAAGGGCACACCATTGCTTCTTGAGGGGCCTGCCAGGAAATGCACAGTCTGGATCTAATACGGCAAAGCACTGGACAAACTCACAGTTAGGGATTGTCCGTAGACACAAAGTAAATGATCTGTCATCCTCAAAAAAGTCAATGTCCCGAATGACAGTTTGAAGAACTGCTCCAGATTAAAGGGGAGTAAAGAGACCCCGTGATTAGAGGCAGCGCGTGATTCTGGATCAGATCCCGCACCAGAAAAGTTTTTTGTTTGTTTGTTATGAAAGATATTAGCAGGACAATTGGTAAAACTGAAATAAGGGCTACTTATAAGATTAGTACTGTATCTATGTTAATTTCCTAATTTTGATAATTGCACTGTGGCTATGTAAGAGGATGTTCTTGTTTTTAGGAAATACACACTAAAGATTTGGGGAAAATTCTCAAATGGTTTATAATATAAATGTATGTATATTATATATGTTTATATAGAGAGAGAGAGAAAGGAAATAAAACAACTATGATAAAATGCCAACATTTGGGGAATCTGGGTGAAAGATACATTAGAATTCATTGTACTATTTTTTGCAACTTTTCTATAAGTCTGAAGTTATTTCAAAACAAAAGTTTAAAAAAAAAANCCAGCCCCCTGCCACCTGGGTTCACAGGCTTACCTTCAGCTCCTGTGTCACTCCTGCTTTGACAAATGGCTCTCCTGGTTTAGCTCCTTTGTAATCATATGTCTGCTGATGGAAGCAGAAACACAGAATGTTGGAAATTGCAGGTGCGGGGTAGGATCGCAGAGGCAGGAGAGGTCACCCTGTGTTTCTGTTCCTCCCTCAGGGCCAGGGCAGAGGTGGGAGTTGGTGATCCCGCCTGTGCAGAAGGTTCCACTCCTCTCCCGGGCCACTGGGCCTCTGCTCTGTCTGCCCCTTGCATGGCCAAGCTCCTTCCCACTGCGAGGCCTCGGTGCCACCTGTGTCTTGGTCTTCTGTGCATGGTCTGTGTCTTGTCCTCTGGCTCTCAGCTCCAATGAAGGCCTTTCCCAACCACCCAGTATTGTGAAGCAGCCACCCAGTCATGTCTCCTTATCTTAATTAGGTAACACTACTGAATTTTTCCTTGTTTGTTTATATATCTGATTGGTTACTAGTATGAAGTTCGGTGACAGCTCAGAGGCTATCTCAGTGCCCCCACACCTGGGCTGGGTCTTGGCCACCAGTGACAGTGAATGACCCCTGACTCCAAGACACCTCCTCACGGATCTCAGGCTTGGCTGCTGGCATCGCCTCCAAAAAGCTTCTTACTTTGGTTGGCTCTGGCTTCAATTCCAGGCAAACTGTCTTGTAGTTCTTGCTCTGCAGAGAGAGGAGGCTGGGGTTCAGGCTGTCAGGCATCAGGACTAGGGGAGGACAACCTCCAGCCCTTGCAGGAGGACTCTCCACCCTCACAAGCCTGCCTGTCCAGCTTCGCAGAGCTCAGGCTCACACAGCCCCTGTCCCTGACCCGATTCACGACACCTCAGAGTTTGTCATGTGAGCACGGGCTGGGGGATGGGCAGACTTGGGTTCTGATCCCAGCTGTCCTCATTACCCGCGGTGGCAACTTAGCAACGTTATTTAGTCTCTCCAAGCCTCCGTTTCTTCATCCGCAAGATGGAGGTGACTATCACATTTCTCTAATAAGGTTCTTTCAAGCCCATGACCTGTGGGTTAGATGCGGGCCTGCTGCGGGTCTGGGGGCCTCGGAACTGCGAGTGGTCACGGGGGCGAGGGGGTAGCACAGTGCTCCTTGTCCCCCTCACATTTCTCTAATAAGGTTCTTTCAAGCCCATGACCTGTGGGTTAGATGCGGGCCTGCTGTGGGTCTGGGGGCCTCGGAACTGCGAGTGGTCACGGGGGCGAGGGGGTAGCACAGTGCTCCTTGTCCCCACAGGGCAATGGCAGAGCCTCTTTCCCTCCCACCCCAAGGCCTGGGACTAATCCACACCCGTTCCAGGCCGAGAGGCTGCTTTATGCTCAGAACAGAGAAATCCGGCCTCGGAGTCCCCAGAGCACCCTTGCGTCCTCCCCGCCCCCCACTCTGTAGGGGGCCCCACGTTGTCCGGCAACGTTTCTCCTTTACCGGGTTTGTTTTCCTCAGTTCTGCCCTCTTGGCCGACATGATGGAGGAGGCTAGAGTGTTCTTCAACTTCCCAGCCTCCCCACGACGGCCGCCCCCAGGACCAGGCCAAGGAGAGGGCAGGTGACCACCTCTTTGTATGCGGAACAGCTGAGGTCACAATGCCCGGGACCCACATGCTGGCCCAGAGTGTCACCACAGCATTGGGCCTGGGGTGCCTCAGCCACCGAGAGGAGGGGCTCAGGCCAGGTTCCAAAGCCACCAGGTCTCCCTCTGACAATGGGCAGGGGGCTCTCCTGGAAAGGCCACACTGGGGAGGACCATGGCCTGCTGGCCGGAGCACAGGGCACCTCAGGGGAAGGAGCGGCTGCCTGTGCCGCAGGACCAGGCCTGTGACTAGGAGGAACGTCTGCACGGCCGCCGGCTCCTCTGCTGTGCCCTCCTGACGTGCGCAGACCTCCCTCAGGCCTGAAGCCACCTGGGGTTGGGGTGTCCCAACGTGTCTCTGGTTTAACGTGCATGTACCATCCCGACCCAGGTTCTGTGTACTGTGCCGGGGGAGGAGGGGCAGCATTCTCTGCAGGATGATCTCTGATGCCTCTGTCTTCAGGCCACCCTGTCCCCTGCCCACCCCAGTCTTTTCTCCTGGTTCTTCTATTGCTCTGGAAGAGAGTTGAGGCAAGAAGCAGGATCTGGACATTGGGGAAGGTGAGAAGCCTTGGTGGGGGGACGGGGGGGCAGAATGCTAGGAACAGGCCGTTCTGAGGGTAGCCATAATATGTGCTTAAAGTGGAGAGTCAAAAGAACGCAGCATCCCGTGGGACCTGAAACGTATCCTAGTCCAGGCTGCAGAGCCTCAGTTCTCTTCCCCTCTCATCACTGGGCCATCCCCTTCCTTCTCTCTCAACCACTAGTTGCCACAGAAAAGGCTGACTTGGACATTCTGAGAACAGACAGTGCAGGAGTACAGGAGCTGATGCCAACTGCATCTGAATCCATGCCCACACCCGCTGTCACTTGTCACACTCACCCTCCTGGCTCATGAACCTGCTTGGGCCTGTCCTTCCCAGAGGCCAGAGCACTGAAACTTCCTCCAGGGCCCCGTGCAGCGTTCTGATGCATTTCCTAGCTGGTGATTTCCCAGTCCCCGGGCTGGTGACAGCCATAGGACTTAACTCCATCACAACTGAAGGAGAATGTGTCTGTCACTCTGTTCAGAGGGGGTGGGGGTGGTGGCAAGTCTCCGAGGCCTCACTTTCCCCACTTGTGAATCAGGGGTTAGAAGTTTAAGGTTCCTTTGATTACTTCCCAGATGCACTGGCCACAGGGTAGGAGGGCCCTTTCTCCACAGGTTTCCAAAGACCCTCGACAGGGTTGAGCAGAGACCTGCTGTGAAAATGACTGACTCCATCTCAGTATTTACCAGCCCTGTGAAAAGGACAGCATCTCCTTCCTCCTGCTTTGGCTCGAGGGCCACATGGACATGTAGCAGAGACCTGCTGTGAAAATGACTGACTCCATCTCAGTATTTACCAGCCCTGTGAAAAGGGCAGTATCTCCTTCCTCCTGCTTTGGCTCGAGGGCCACATGGACATGCAGCAGAATTTCCTTTGCCCAGCGGAGCAGTTGTTAAATGAGCTGCTTTCAAGCCAAGCACAGCACATGAGCCCACTGGCCTAGATATTAGGAAAGTGGGTCTAAAAGACATCCAGGTCTCAATGTTAAACTGCTTTATAAAGGAAAAAATGCCACATATATGGTAATACCATTTTGACAAACACTTGACGACAGACTCACTGTTCCGGGCTTGTACCTTCTCACAGCATTTACTATTCATGTTCCCAAATACATCATTGTTCTTAGGAATACGTTCTGGAAGGGCTGGGGAAATCCATTTGGTGAACCTGAATAAATGAGTCTTATACTCTTTTCTTCTTTAAGAGGACTTCGCCGCTGCGTGAGGCACTGGGTCGAGCAGCCTTGCAGTGCTGGGTATTGCCAAGGTGTAACTTTGTTCTTCATGAGGCACAGGCCGTTCTTACCTGAAGAGCGCCAGCTATGCTTCCCGAACCGCCCTTTGCCGTGACACCCATTTGCACCATCCGACAAGGCGCAGAAAGCACACGGATGTTCCATCGGAGCTGGGGAAAAAGAGATATTCACAACAGAGAAAGAAAGGGCCACATGCCTCTCCTCTCCACGTTGATGTCATTTGAATTTCCATTTCTTTGCAAGGATCCTGTTTTTTTCAGTTTCATGAAGAGAGTTGTGTGGAGAGGCTGGGGGTGGAATTTAAAAATGGCCTTAGGCCTCTGATTTTTGTCCTTTTGTGATCCTGGGGGTACAAATTCCAGGGTCTGGCCCACAATGAAGCCCAGGCCCAGCCACTACCCACGTCAAGAATTAGAGAAAATGAAGAGGATGTTGTGTGCTTAGGGCCTATTGAACCACTGCGGGGATCGGTGTTCCAAAACCCTTTGATTAGGGTGGAATGTTTCACGAAGGTGCCCAGAATCCCCATGGCTGTGGTCTCCCGTCAACCTCAAGCTGACATGGCTCAACATAATGTAAACTAGATGACTCGCTCTTACACTCCTGGCAGTTTATGTCTGACACGCTGCAGTGTCTGGGTGGCTGCCCTCGGCCGGACAGGCTCTCTGGTTCCTAGCCCCAGGGAACCTCGTACATAAACTTGTTAGAGATTTCATGTGAGTGTTTACTTCATTGTCCTACTTCACGGATTTATAGACATCTTAGAAAGCTTTTCTCTGTGCAGGGTACAGTTTTTTTTTTTTTATTATTGACACATTAACTACTATGCAATTCATGATTGTTTCTATAAATAGTGTATCAGACCTTGGCTAGAATCATAATCCTATTATACTGTCTCTTTAGAAAAATTATATCCAGTTCATATTTTATAAACTTCTGGTACTTCTATCTCAGGAACAAAACATAATATTCTGAATAGATCATTGCAAATCTCCAGCTATTTTAGTACAGCTAATAGTAAGTGAAAAGCCAGCGCAAATGCACTGTATGAGGATTGCTGGCTCTTCTGCCCTGTATGTTCGCTGTGACAAGAACATGCTTTCCAGGCCCCCCAGGACCCAGCGGAACACGTTACTATTCCCACAACCAACCGCTACAGAGCAGCCTGCTATGTGAGATAAAGCAAGAGCCCACAACAGCCCGAGGGGCTCCTGCTCCTGCCAAATCAGCCCCCGTGGCCTCCATACTTAGCTGCTGCCCCTTTACCCTCTTTGGATGGAACCCAAATGGAGAACAGCCGTTATTTCACTCCTGCCTCTTTTAGCTTCCCTGCTGGGAGGCGCTCTGCAGTTGCTATCCCAGTCCCCAGTAGCCTCCTCTCCACCTCTGACACCTTCAAATTGCCATTTATCGCTGAAATGGTAAAACTGAGTGACACAGTAGCCTCTTCGGGTTAGCCTTGTAAGGGGACTTTGCTTCCGGTGGTGTCCGTGGAGGGGCACAGGTGGGAGGATTAGTCCTGGGGGTTAGTCCTGGGGTTAGTCCTGGGGATTAGTCCTGGGGGTTAGTCCTGGGGTTAGTCCTGGGGGTTAGTCCTGGGGGTTAGTCCTGGGGATTAGTCCTGGGGTTAGTCCTGGGGGTTAGTCCTGGGGATTAGTCCTGGGGGTTAGTCCTGGGGTCATTCCTGGGGTCATTCCTGGGGATTAGTCCTGGGGGTTAGTCCTGGGGATTAGTCCTGGGGGTTAGTCCTGGGGATTAGTCCTGGGGGTTAGTCCTGGGGTTAGTCCTG